GGACTATTACAGGCTCTCTCCGGAACGCTGGGAGCAAGCTCATACCCCTGGGACTAAGCTTTTTGTGTAATAATCACTTCTCAGACTATAGGGTTTACACATTTTGAATCCCCATCAAAAACTGTATCAGGTGAAGCTCTGGGAAGAGATTATCAGCAAGCCGAGGCTGGTGTGGGAGCACACGAACCAGGAGAGATTCTCAAAGCGTAAGTGCAGGTTTCCCAGCCAAGGCTTCCTGAGCTGCTCTGGAGCAGAGCCAGCCCCGTGCAGCAGAGCAGCATCGCAGCACCATCTGCCGACTGCTGCCTGCAAGGCCCTGCGTCCCACGCAGGGTCTCAAACGCGCAAAGAGGCTGAAAGCATCCTCACATTAACACCCCACTCTTTAGGACCATAAATCCTGCAATTATGGATTAGAATACAAGAATTAGAATTAGGTTCTTGCTTGGGAGCAAATGCAGAGCTGCTGCTTCTCACACTTTCTTCACCTGGAGTTAGGCAGTGTCACATTCTCCTTAGCACAGCAGCAGTGCCTGCTTTAAGAAGAGTAGTCAATACTGCAAATACTGGAAGAACAAGAGTGACCATCAGAAGAACTGACACACAATATATTTGCTACAAACATTTGTTTAGGTGTTAGGCAAGCTAATGCCTGGGCGCACTTCTCTGCAGTGCAGAGCAGCTGAGTCCCCAGCAGATCCCAGAGCCTCCTGCCTTCATGTCACCTTTCAAACACCCATACAAGGCTTCAGAAGTGTGGTCCTCTGCTGCAGGTGAGCGATACACAGCAAGACGACCTCTCAACAGGCTAAGGTAGCTTGTGCAGCCAGGTTTTGTTTTTAAGCTGGCAGTAGCATGCCCCTACAGCACAGGGCCTGTTCTTGGCTTCATTGCGACATACAGGATTTTTCCAGTTGAGGCCAAGAAATGAATCAAACACATATGTGAGGCAGTTCGCTGCCCCTCTGCACTGTTCATGACTCAGCTCAGATGTGACAGTGAGGGAAGTCCCAGCACATGCAGGAGAACAAGGGCACAAGCTTGATTTATGGCAAGACCAACTCCCTCCCTCAAAATCTGAGGAGGTTCCTGGGTTCCTGTGTGTTTTTTCCCCTCCAGGGCCATTTCTTACCTCACCACCATGCAGATGCCACAAGCCTAGCGTGAGGTCTCTTTCTTCTTTGTATCCATCTCACAGAAGAGGCTTTTTCCAGACAGAAGTAAATGCACGGAGCAGTAAATCTGCAAATCTGTCATATATCAAAGAGCCATAAACAGAATTAACACTCCCTCTGCCCAAGGAGGCAGCAAGTACTCTCAAGGCTGGGATAACACGACATCTTGTCGTAGCAGATAGCTGTGATGTGTATCTTGCCATGTAACTGTCACGACAGCTAAAAATCTGTGGGCGGAACTGGCACAGACGCTCTCCCCCACTGTGTCCTCAGGGTGCTGCAGATGTGTGCCCAGGAGGTTTGCATGTTTGTTCTTGGAACTTGCCTTGTTAATGTTGTTGCAATATTGACACACTATTCAGCTCAAAGCTGCTCCTAAGATGTGGAAACTGAAGCTTTTTTATTATTATTTTTAATCTTAGCCTTTAGGACTAGATACTTAAGAACATTAACATCCATTTTTACATCATAACTCACATGCTCAGCTGTGCCACTACTTTAGCTACAGCCACATATCATCTGCTTCCCCAGAAGTCCTCAGAGTGAAGATTTCTTGATTAAACAAACAATTAATACATAGAACCAGAAAACATGAGTAGGTTTCACTAATGAGACAGATGTTTTCTTGGACACACACATCTATCAGCAACAAGTTGAACTGCAGCAGATACCAATAGCATCTTTTGTCTAGTTTGGGAGCAGCACTGCACAGAAATGGGAAAAGTTATGTATGCAACATAAGATATACAACAAAGTTTTTGATATAACTAGAAATTGTAGAGAGAAACAGCAGCTTTGCATTCCAAACAAAGGATTCCCCGAGAAATAAGAGAGGCATTTGAAGTTGTCCACTTCTATGTCTGGAAATACATACTGAGATTTCTCCCAGAGAAACGCAAATCAATTACGTGAATAGAAAAACATTTGAGAAGGAAAAGGAAAATATTTGGCAGGCAAACACTAAAATGCTCAGCTCTGTGAGAGTCATGCCCCATGGACACAACTGAAAACTGAACCTACCTATTGGGTGAATAAGCACCAGGCTCATGTATGTTTTTCCTCATCCCAAATATTTTCCCTTGGACACTAGTTTCCCAACCTCCTTTCTACACAAGTATGGTATCACACTGATAGGTATCATGTAGAAACACTTGGGGGAAGTGAGTTTAAGTACAAAGCATTTCTTCAAAAGTGCATAAAAAGTAAACATAACCTTCCTCCAGATTGTTCTTTTTACCGTTGTACCCAAAGACATAACCCATTTCACCCTGGCAGTTTTAGTGCTTTCCGTTTATGCTGTCTCTTTGGAGGCTGAATGGCACCACACTAACTACAGAACCACATGCTTTCATGTGAACGCCTGTCAGCAGAGCTGTGCAGATGTCCTAGCAGAGGTGCATTTTACAGCAGCCAAACAGATTGTCACCAGGGTCCACCAGGCTGGTAAGGAAGTGAGAGGCTTCAGATGTAGATCACATCCGAGTCGTGCTGCTGAAACTATGTGCAAAACAAATAGGGAAAAATTAGTCCACTCTGAACTCCTACTTAAATGGACCCCGTTTTGTTCAACTCTTTACATCCAATTCTGGGGTCTTTTGCAAGATGCCCTGCAATAGTTTGAGTTTGTGGAGGGTTTTTTCCTCTCTTTCTGGGGGGTGGGGAAGGGAATCAAAACACACACATTTCTCTCGCCTCTGTTATTTGGATTAGGTTCATCTTGAAAAAGTTGCTTCTATTATCTCCGCAAGGAAGAGCTGCTGCTTCGCCTGCTGTTGCACATTGAGCTCTGAGCCCACAACCCTGACCATTCCAGTCTTGAAAGCTACTTCCTAGAGCCTCTAATTGCTCCTGAAAACCCTTGTGAGACAAATAAGGCACATAGCTCCATTTTGTTCACATACAGAATAGCAAAAAATACATCGAGCTTCCTTTATACACAATACTTTGCCCTATTAGCACTGCCTAGAGAATGCTGATTTCTTTCTAATGATTCAAGAGCTGATTGACCTTGCAATCCTTCTCAAACACATACTTGATTCTCCACACAGGCTAGTGAAATTCAAAAGTAGGGTGTATTTAATACAAAACCACTTTCCTAGCTCTGTAGGATTCTTTGACAGGGAATACACATTATTTTAGAAAAGAACTGAACTGTGGGAAATCTAGGCACTTTATTTCCCACCCCTTAAAAAACAAGAAGCTAGGCACAATTTGTTTTAAGCTCTTGATTTTGTAGAGTACATTCTCATTCTCTTTCCAAGTCTGATACAAATAACATGACACAAATCCACTACACACAGGTATCTGTTGCACTTACTGACCCTTACAGCTTTGCATTGCAACTTAGATCATAAGCAAAAAAAGAAGAATCAGGTGACTAAGCAGTCCTGAATGGTGATCCAGAATGGGGGCTCCAAACTCACAACAGCTAAGTTTTTAAAACTGGCATTTATAATACAGCTGCAATACAGCTGGACAAGTAATTGCCTAAGGCCAGCCACTCTTAGCCTTTTTGAACTCTAAACTTTTACTCCACATTTGTAAATTTGTAAGTCTCATTACCTTTATAATCTGTTTTCTGGTTCCTGTGCCCACACTGTTGGCAATCAAGGAATTTGCTGGAAAAGATGACTTTTCTACTGGCAATGTGTGCTGAGCTTTGTTGGTACAAGGCCAGCTGCTTGTGGTATTTAACGAGTAAGCAGGGAAAGGTCTTTGAAGATTTATATCCAATGAATCTCTCGTTTCAAAGGTTTTCATCCACGAGGTCTTTAAGAGAACAGAACATATGTAGCTTTAAATACTCCCATTGCATCAACACTCATTAAGCCAAAAAGAACATCAAATGCATAGCCAGAGAATGAAGGCCATCCTCCCTCTTTTCTCCAAGCTTATTTTCTTTGTCCTTAAAGAGTTTACTTGGGACAATTAACTAGATATGCAGCAATCTGGAAAGCCAAAGCCTACCCTAGTCTTGCACCGGTTGAAGAGGCTGGAGAGTTTATATAGAATATGTATATGAACAAAATCTCATTTTAGGTCCTCACTGCCTTAGAAACAAGATTGCAAAACAGATAAATAGCAACCACAAAGCACATGCAGGAGAATGCAAAGCAAACTGCGATAAACAACACTTAATGTGTTAAGTTACAAAAGTTTAGTTTGTTCTGAGGCCCTAAACGCTTACCGTGATTTCATAATCTGCAAAATAAGGTGATTATTTTGTTTGTGGTGCTTATATCTTACCCAGGAAAAGCTTCTCACATTTGCATGGGAGCTTTCATTGTCTCTGTTCCCACTTCTAATATTTTACTATCAAAAGTACTAAATAATATGCACTGAACTGAAATACAGCAATTACCTTTAGCAAACACATTCAGAAACATTTCGTGTACTCTATTCTCTTTTATGGTTCATGCTGCAAATAGAATGTGACACTTTTTAATATACAATCAACTTACATTCTCTGATTTTGCTTCTATATTACCCTTATTATAAAACCTGTGTGTTAAGGGTACATACATTTCCTAAGGAGCGATCCAAGGACCCCAGTACTTCATTCCAATGACAGTAAAGTCCAGACTGTTTTTCTTCTAATTTCAATGCATGAATTTCAGACTTCAGTTCTTTCAATCGATCTTCAAATTTTTTGCTCTTTTCTATGTAATCTAACCTGTAGTCCATACATTGGAGACAAAAAGCTTGTTAATGTGACAGCTCAAGATCAGGCATGTGGGGAAAGAGAAGAGAGGTAATTCTTTGCTTCATTTTGTTTTTTGATAGGCACAATCAAACCTGGCACATGTCAGCCTGATTTCCCCTGGCCCATTGAAAATAGGATTTGCTGCCCCATCTCTCAGTACTCATGCACTTTCCAGCTCTCTACCAAGAACTACCTTTTAGGTCAGCAAAGCAATCCTATCCCTCAGTACTAGAAGGAAGCTTCTACCTTCCCACATGCTGTTACTCAACCATAGTACTTCAGCCTCTATGTCATGCTCTCCAAAACAAAAAGGTCATGAACTTGTTATATCTTGATGCCACAAGAATGCATTTGCTCTGTGCAAAAAGCTCATCTTAGACAAACTGTGTCAGCTCATAAAAGGCCTCCAGCTGAACATACAAGTACGAGGCCATCCTGCACCGTTAGAAGAGCAAGCTACAAATCCCAAAGATTCTTTCTATACTTTACAGCATTAATGTACTGTCATTTATTTACACCATGAGCATACTGATACCTTTCCCTTTCAATCTCAAAGGACAGTCTCTTGAGGTCGATGTCTTTCAAATCCAGCTTTACAGACCCTTTGTCAAAGTTGGCATCTCTGGTGTCGGTTGGTGAGTATTGCGGGTACTTGACCATGTGCTAAAAGAGGCAGCACAAACATTGACAATGAGATTTGATTACTTGGGTTTTTCGATCGTTTCCCCAGCTTCTGCAAGGATTGCATGCTGAGCCATTCCATAAGGTCCACATGGATTCTGAGTTGCACAGAGGCTGCTGCAGCCCTCTCCCCTCTACCTGAAAGGCCCCAAACTGAAATCCACAACCAACATACCCGGGCCCCAGACAAACTGAAATCCACAACCAACATACCCAAGGGAAAGCCTTGTTTTTTGTTTTTAACTTCTCCTCCTTACAGTCCTGATGTACTGACATGAACAAATACAATTTCCAATTTGGTTACGCTGTGCTTAAGCACTATTTGAGCTGTCCCATTGCCTGAAAATGCCACTACCCAGCCTGACTGGGGCAACAAACGTAAAATCAACAGCCAGTTATTCCCTGAGACAAAGTGGTACACACCAGAACAGAAACTTACGGGATAATTGAGCCTGGTTATGTCTAAGAGTTTCTGCTTTGCTTTCCGTTCAGCCTCTCTGGCTTCATGCAGGTCTTGTTTGAGATGCTCTGCTTCCTTTGCTCTGTAACACAAATATCCTGACATGGACGGCGATTTTGAGCATAAAGCAACACCTGTATTCCAGCTACTCACCCCACTAGTTTCTGCAGTACAAGACCCATTACTTAGATTCCATTCCCCAATAAAATTTGTGGTCGGATAATCACATAGGGAACAAATTGGACACAGCATGACACACTCTCAAGGACAATCCTGCATGAACTGGCTGAATTAATGTTTTTTTCCTACTTTTAATTTCCATGGGCTGAGCTATATCCTGCTGATACAGATTCCCCAGGCTGTCAGAGATCCTCCCTGAGAAGGGGAGAGGTGCAACATAGCCACTCTTTACTTTGGCAAGTTCTTTGGCAGTATCCTAACACGAGCAAAAGGTTCTCAATAGCAAGGTTAAACATCCTCTGTTGACGCTGCTCTGCATTTTTAGGCAGCACACAGTTGTGGAACATGCAAACCCCTGCAATATGGTTTACACGCAGCTTGCACTCCACGTGAGTATACATGGCTTACACTTTTTAATGATTTGAAAAGGCTGTAGGAGAGCACACCTTGGTTTTACTGAAAACAGTCTCATAATCCCTAGGATACAGAGACAGTTAAATTTAGCTAGTGAGACAGTCGATGCTCTTTTGCTAATGCTAAATAGAACAGGATGCTGCGCAATGTTTGTGGATCATTAATAAGGATCTCTAAAGCTCTGTCTCACCCTCTGTAAACTCTTACTGACCTGAATCACAACCACCAGTACGAGATGGAACAATATGCAAGAAAGTTTAGCAACTCTGAAGCAGCACTTAAGGAAGAAAAGCTCCTTCCTGGGCTGAGCTCTGCACAGAGGAACACTTTCTCCACCCAGGCCTCCCAGTAGGGTCCAAATAATCCCATCCAAGCAAATCCAACCTCCGGTCTGATTCCTTCACCAGCTTCACTGCTATCAGCTCTGCCTCCCTCATCTTTTGCTCCATCAGGCGTTTCTCTTCCTTGGTTTTCAGAGCTGTAATCTCCAGCCTCTGTCGCTCTTGCTCAGCTTCTGCTGCATTCTGAGCCAGCAATTTGGCCTCCTCTTCTGCAATCTGAGCTTTCTCAGCCAGCAACTCTGCTGCTTCCTGGGATCGTAGCTAGAAGAAAAGAGGTTTTTTTGGTTACTCTGTCTAGCATTTACAATGTCACTCCTGCAGTCAGTCAAGAGGATGACGTTTCCCCAGCAGATCAAAGGACAAACATGTTAAACCTTAAAACAAACAAACAAACAACAAAGAAAAACATAATAAGGTTTGACCTTTCTCCTCTACTCCTGAATTACCTAACTTCCTTCCTGCCTCTCACCTCTAACACAGGAGAGAGACTTGCTTGGTATTGAATAAAGACATCAGCCAAATGCTGACAGAATTCTCCTCGCCTCAGCTGTCAGTGCCATGCACACCATATGCCCTTATCCCAACTTCAGTTCCCAGTGTTGCATGAATTCCCTTCTCTTTGCCTGAGGAAAGCACTGTGAACCAAATCCAGGGACAGCAGAATGGCTCACAGCAAATAGAGACCAAGGAGATGAGGTTTCTCCCAGGTATTCCATCAGGAATTCCATCATTCCCACGTGTCAGAAACTCTCCTGCCTTGCCTAAGCCACAGCTTCTGCTGTCTCATGGGAGCCCTAAGAAAAAGCAGTTTCCAGGCCAAGAGAGCCCTTCAAGCACAAGAACATTAAGAGTAACATGCTACTCACCAGGGCCTCATTGGCTTGCCTGGCTTCATCTTCCAGCTGGAAGAGACGCCTTTCCAACTCTTCTTTGGCTCGCTCAGCTTCTTCTCGGAGCTGCTTCTCCCTGGCAAGCCTTTGATTCTCCATCTGGAAAGAGAATGAGCAGAACACGGCTTGTGGGTTTGCAGCAGAAGCTCAGCTTGGCCTAGAGCGGCACAACAAATGAGTAATGGGGCATGGACTTCTCTCTGGCTAGCAGACTGACACCCACCAGAAACAACGCTGAAGCAACTTATGTGTCTTGACAGCACTGAACTGCACTAACTAGTAGTAATGGTTATTTGAGACTTTTGGGGAAACACTTGGAGTGATCTGCCATGTACCCCAGATCTTTGCAGTCACTGCTTTGGCTCCCCAATGGTCACTTACACCCTCAGAAGCTGCACACACTGGAGCTGTTCTCACACTCACTCCTGCTGCACTTTCCCACATTCCATGCAGGTATTGATGCAATGCATGGACAGCGAGGCCTCCAGCCTCAATAACAATCAGTATTTTCAGCAGATCAGTATTCCAGGAACAGGACTGTACCTTTTTTCTAGCTTTTTCCTCCCTGGCCTGTGCTTTCATTTGCTGTATCTCTATTGAGTCCACTTTTCTTCTTCTCATAAATAGGTCGTGGTTTCCAATACACAACTGCAAAATCTGGATGGGAAAAGCAAAGCAAATGTGATTGTGATATACTTGCATACCAGCCATGGGCCTAAAAGCCCCACAGAGACCTCACAGGACAGAAGCTGACCCTGACTTCAGCACAAGTCCTGGCAGTTGTTCCCTTTCTGAAAAAAAAAAAAAAGAGAGAACATCCAGGACAGGCTTCACATCCAGACATGTATGAGTTTAGAAGAGTTCATAACAAAGAGGGATTCATTTTGTCCTTCATCCTTCCCTGTTCTAATTTCCTGAGAAAGGAAAGGCAATGAATCTAGACTAGAAATGCACAGGAGGTAGCTGTGAGAGTGCTCACCTGTGATTGCTCCCTACAAGCTCACTGAGAAATGGCCCAATCCCAATGCTTGTGTTAGGAAGCAGTTAGTGGTGAGACACTTCCATCAGTTAGGTCCCTTCCTCACTGGTTGTCTTGGAAAATGGGAAGTGGTAGCTAGTTAAGAGGCCACAGCAGTCAGGCAGATACTGCAGTAGCTTTGCTACTGCCTCTCAACTTGGCAGCATATGGATTTAACTTTGCAACTTTGGGCTTTTTTCTACATCTCACTCTCCACTCATCTTCCCAAACAATCATTATAGAAGACAGGTGTTCCCCGACTCCTAGACAGGGCAGAAAAATATGTTGAAACTCAGTGTTTCTGGCCTCTAGCTGGGCTTCATGGGCAAACAGGATTCCACATTTAGATATCACTCAGTATTACCAGGCTCCCTTTTAAAGGAAGAAAGCAGCACACTTACCAATTTGTTTACTTTGAGCTGGGAGGAAAAGAACTTGAAGACTTCTGCTTTTTTGTCAAGAGGTTTAATAGTTAACTGCACAAGAGACAAAAAAAAGAAATAAAGCATAGTAAAAATGAGGAAAAATAAAGCTAAAACTCTTAAACTGATGCAAACTTTAACCCATTTCTGCATCTCTCTAGGAAAGCACTGATCTAGGCCATATATACGGGCAGAGTGAGGCAGAAGTATCTTGCTCAAAAGAATCCAAACCAGGGCTGTTGTCCATCACATACATTCCTCCTTATGCAGGAACTGTCATATTCTTAAAGTTAGGGAGATGTCAAACGCCTCTCAACAATTTCAGGTGTAAATGAAACGCCTCACAAAGGCCCAGAATGTGTCTCCTCTTCTCAGACAGCCTCATGGAGTTGTTTTCTCAGATTTTGTCCCATCTCCCAAGCTGTTTTTGGAGGACATGAAGAGTTTTCATGCTACTGGGTCAGTACTCAGCGTTTCTCTTTCTATGCTGAGCTCCGTTCAGCTGCATAACAAAGAATAGCTCTATTCTTTAAGACCCTGCTTTCTGTGACTCACAGGTTAGCACTTTATTCCTATTATTAATTTGCAATGCAATGTATAATTTCAGGCCATCTGAGTCATCAACACCATAACATACTATATCTCATTTCACCCTCTAGGTAACAATCAGTGGAACATATTGCCTGGCAAGAAGCAGGGCTGTGAATGTCACAGACAATAGTGGAGCTTTAATATAGGGCTGCCCAGCTTTCCAACAATTCGGAATTAAGCAGTTTATTCACAAAACTCCTGTGATGTTGAATGTTATGCAAAGAAAAAATCCTTTGGAGGCAGAACTCTTGTAGGTTGCCCTGCCTGATTTAATGTATGAGACCTTAACTCTGGACAGCAAATCTGACTTTCTAAGGGTTTTTGTTTGGTTAAGGTTTTTTTGTTTGTTTTAAGACTGAAAGAGAAAGGAACAGTCTGTGCTGTCCTTTGGTTGCTAGTTTCCAGGTATTCCAGGACCAATGCAGTTTTTCTGATTATAGCCTTCCATGTAGCCTTATCCCTTTTCATTTGAAATGGCTCCCAACTTCACCCATTCTCTGCTGTACTTTCTAAAGCAGAAAATGGGCTGTGAAATCAGAGCAAAATTTTAATGGTGCAGCTGTGATGAAGACTGAAATAGTGCTCTGAAATTTGCAGAATTCAGGCATAAAACCACAGACATCCCACTGGATATCTCTTGCCAGTGTACTTCAAACTTCATCTACAAGAACGGCTTCTGCAAGTGAAGCAGAATGGACCATTTAATCCCTGCTGAGATGATTGAAGCCAGCCCTAGTGGCACTTGTGATATATATTTTTTAGTAAAAGATCAATACACTTGTTTTGGGGAGGTCAGGCAGCCGGGTAGAAACCAGAACAGTGGACAGCAAAAGTTTGGAGAGCTCTGAGCAGTCTTTGTCTTCCAGGTGAACTGAGGTTATACAACACATAGAATCATAGAAACCTTGAGGTTGGAAGGGACCTCTAGGGATCATCTAGTCCAACCCCCCTGCACACACATCCGAAGGACAGGTCTGCTGCAGTTTTGTAATAAACCTCCCAAGACTTTTTTCCCAAAATTATTTTAACAGAGGCAGTTATCAGCCTGTTCCAAGAACCCCAGTCCACACCCATGCCATATAAAAGCAATAATATATCAGATTCATCATACCTCTTTCTCACTATAGGAAATATTTCTGATAGCACTCCACTCAAATGACTTATTCGGAGAGAATCTGTTATTAATACTGTAGATATGAATACCTTTGGCATCAACTCCAAGGAGGAGATCTGTGTGATTTTTATTTTGCTAAACAAAAAGCACAAAACAGATGTCAATAAAAAGTATTCAGTGACACTTAACTGCAGAAGAGACTTATTTTAAGATAACACAAGGGTGTTTTCATAGAAGAAATTATGAACGCAGTCACTGCCAACTGGAGACCCAACAACCCCAAAAAGAAACCCAATCCTCTATTGATTGAAACAGCTCAACCTTTTTAGTTTATTTATCCTCTTTCCTATTACATATCCAAGCCACCCAAGAGCTTTGATAGATCATCACTGTTTTATTCACCAGCTCATTTAGCAGGCAAGTAAACTGAGTCAGGGCAATCACTAAACACCCTGCCAGAGGCTGAGAAGAGCAGAACCCAGGAGTCCTAGTTCCAGGCTTCCTAGAGGAGTGTAAAGTGACACTATCGTACTCAACAGCAGTTGAAAATTGCTAAAATAAAACACTTACAGCAATGGGAAAGTAATTGACACCATACATTTCCAAGTCTTGGGCAATTTTCAGGTAGTTCATTTCAGCTTCATCCCTAGAAAATAAGACTGTGATCACACTTGGAAATTTTTATCCAACCTTTCCCCTCCTAGCTATGTCCCCTACATTGAACAGAACAGGCAATATGCTTCTCAGCACTTTCTTTAATTTTGCTGACTTGATCTCGAAAACATATGCAGGGTGATAAAAATAGCATCTCAACAGGAGAAAAAAAAAAAAAAAAAAGGACAGCAAACCTTTGCCTGTTATGTAATGTCATGTAAAGTACAATCTTTATTAAAATTCAACTCCAATCTTATCTTTGTGGGTTAATTTTGTCATTCCATCACCATCTTTTGGAAACCTACTCTCCCATTGTCTTCTGTGACATGAGGCTGTTTCCTTCAGGAAGAAGAGTTCATTGAGAAATATAGCTTGGACAAGTTCTAAACTTGTTCAAGAAAATAATTTGGGCAAAGTCCAAAAGAAGGTGAGAGCCTCCCCACCCACTGTTGTTATTCTACCTCCAAAACAAGACACAAGTCTTGAGGAAAACATTCAGGAAATAGTGCTAAGAAGCATCAAGAACAGCCAAAGACAAACCAAACTGATTAGGAAAGGCTACCTCTGGGTGCCAGCAACTCCTTGTTTAATTGAATGTGTTAGAAGTAGCTCAATGCCCACAGGGGAAGGCACCAAAACTCATAGCTCTGGAACTATTATACCGTATCTTTGCTGTTTTTTTAGCTCCTTGCTGGAGCTAGGACACCTTGCTGACCAATAATTTTCCTAAGGTATAAAATAGCATCAGATTCCTCCTTTGCTCTAGGCTCTAGTTCTAGAAAAGTAGCCACTGTTAAGAGAAGCCACACCAGCAACTCCAGGAACTTCACTGATTCCCTCGAAAGACTAATCTCTTAGGGCTAACAATATTAACATAGAGCTCACATATTCTGCAAGAATTGATTTCTGCTGGCATCCCTATTCTAGATATGAACTTCAGCATGAGAACTCAGCTTCTCTATCCAATCCAAAGCAAGTCCAACTTCAGTGCCCTACACAAGATGACACTTTTTTACCTAGAATAATGAGGGTTTCTCCCTCACTTAGGGATAAAGGAACCTATTAACAGTATGACTTGGAGCCCAATATCTCTTTGCTCACCTACAACAGCTAAATTTTAATAAAAAGAGAAATAACTGGTTACTAAAATATATGGCATTTCCAAAGAATGAGGTGATTTCAATACCTGGCAATACCCCTGTGCTCAGCATACCAAGCAGTAATCTTTTCTTCCCACATCTCTGCCGTCAACTGATACTGCCTGAGGACCTACAGAGAAGAGAAGGAGTTTGCTTTGATTTGAACACCCAAACACATGTGCTGCCTCTCCCAAGGAAGGTGAATACAGCAGTGCAGTTCCCAGCTCGGTCATTTTGCCAAGTGCAGGGCAATCACAACATTTCTAATGCTCTGGTTAGTCACACAGCAATATCTGTGCTACATCAAAGATTGATTCAAAGATTTGTTTTTATACACAATAAAGACTTACCCTTTTGGGTAAAAGCTCATCATGGGCTAGAAAGCCTGGCTCATGAAAATTTGGATCGTAGTCACCATACTGTCCCAAGAAAAGAAAAGATACTTCAAATTACTAGAATGCTGAAGAACTCCCTGGCTGTGTAGTTTTTGCTGGATGCAACTGCCCAAGATAGATTCAGTTCTCCCATATACAAGGAGAAGCACAAACGGGCTCCCCTCACCTGAACTGCCAAGGAAGATATTTCCAGCCCTTGTGCCATGCCTCTTGTTCCAGTGGAGCTACTAAGGTGGCCTGTGGCCTTAGGCAGAGTTCTGGCATGATGCTCGTGGTAACTACAGATATAAAGGAATCACCCAGGACTTCTCATACTCTCTCAGTTATGAACTAAGTTCTAGAATGTAAGTGAATCCACTTCTACTGCATATTGGCAGGGCTGCTGCAGATGGCCACCCCACCAAAAACTTGTCTGAATACTACCATTTTTGTATAAATTTGTCTCTTTGTGACAATCAATTCACTATGTCCTGAGGGATACTCCAATTAATCACATCCCACCAAGAGGTCAGGCAACTAAGTGTGAGCTCAAGACATCAGCACCTGCTGTATCCAAGGTCTCTTTTTAGAACAATAAGAAAAGATTCTAACTGGGAAAAACCTCATATTAAAAGGTTAGGTCCAAAGTTTCCTGAACTGCGTAAAGCAGCAAACAATCATCACCCCAGAAACCTTGTAATGGCTCATAATGGCATGTAATGCCTATTTTTCCCTCTTGTATGCATACTTCCCTGGATGACCTACTTCTTTAACAAAGTTTAATGTTTTTGCACATTTTACTTACCATCATGTAAATAAGTTTGTTAAAAAAGTAATAAAAGAGCACTGTTATTCACCTTGGCCTGAACAGCATAAGAAGCCAGTAAAACTGTTGCCTCTGGAGAGCAATAAATTTCTTCATCCAGTATCTGTTTCTTAACCTAAATCAAGAGAAAAGGGAAGCACGTTACAGAAGGAGCTCTAAGTCAGGACTTCGGTCAGGCTTGAAATGAAACTGGACATGCCCAGACTAATAACTTGGCAGCAAACATCATCAGGAGTTAACAGCATCAACAAAACAGCATTTGGAAACACAGGAAATCTTTGCTTAAGGTTACATTGGATGAAAACCCAATTTTTTAAAAGCAAAAGTGCCTTAATTTCAAGTTCAGAGAAATGCCAGTCAGCTATCTCCCTGCACTTATGTACAGAAACCTGAGAGGAATGTGCTACAGAACATCAATTTTATGGTCTGCGCTTCATTTCACTATTTTTTCCTTCCCCTTGCTTTTAAATTGCCCTTCATGTCTAATTTATGATAGTTAAGTTTTCCTAATATTTGCACTGTGCCTTGAATAAGTGTTATTTGTAAGTGTAAAATATTATCAGGTTATCCAAGAACTACTACAGGTAGTTTCCTGAATTTTTCCTGCAAATGCTCCTTTGCAGAAAGCAGAGGCTTCATTCTAACTCACAGTGTAAGAATCTTTACTCCAGCCTGGCAAAACAGATTTATCTGCATTTCTTGGCTTCCATATGCTGCCAAAGGATGTAAACGGACCCCAGGTACTAAATCCTGACTGTAAATTATGGTTTAGATTCCAGTTTAGAATAATGTTCCCAGTTTAGAACAGGAAGATGTTTTATCCATAAATCAGCAAAAGCTTTTAATCTTGTATAGTTAAGAGTTTTTCCTTCTACTACCTTCATATAAATATAATGAAACATCCTTTCTAATGCTCCCTTTTATTACCAATTCATATCCCAGAAGGAAGCTATAGCAATTTTGCCTTCAACATTAAGAAAGGGCAGGTGAGCGTCTCAGTTACTTCAAATCATCATAATTTCTTTGTATTCAATGGCACTAAATGGGCTGCATGAAACAGTGATCTGACTTAGTACTTAGAAAGGTACTAAAAGCCTATATAACCAAACATGCAGTTTTGGTGAAAAAAATACCTTTATAACATGTAAAATATTGAACTTTTGGGAGCCAGAAGGAACCTCTGCAAGTTATCTAGTCAAAGCAGGTCTGACCAGATCAGGTTGCTCAGGGCCCCATTGAGATGAGTTTTGAATATCTCCAAGGATAAAGACATTAAATATTGAAAACATTAATAAAATGCTTGCAAGCTTTCCAGAGAGTAAACCTTCAACAAGAGCAGACCTGCAATGGTCTCAAACGAATGTTGCAGTATGAGATTGAAGGAGAGCCCACAAAAAACCTGCCTTAGAGCACCAAATGCATTAAATTATAATAGTCCAAGAACAATCAAAAGGTAGAGGCTTAAAAATAAAAGCACAGGGTAAATGGTAAAGAGTCTTTTAACATTCTTTTAATTTTAATAATCTATGGCACTACCATGATCCGAGGCATAATAGTTTGAGATGTTACTTGATTTCATACCTGCTGGGTTTTTACCTTGAAAGATTAAGAGAGGAGAGAGAAAGGAAAAAAATGCATTCACAACTCCCTCTCAAATATAATGAATTTAGCCGATTAACAAGGACAAGATAAGAAAGATTTGCATAATGTACAGTCTTAAACACTTCCAGAATAAAAGAAAGAAATTGAGATAATACTGCGCTATCTTGACAAATACAAGTTGGAGCTACAAGCACTGTGAACTGAAATGAACCAAAAAAAGAGTTTTTCTTTTAAATTTAGCCTCTGGTGAGCACAGTATATGAACCTGAGTTATAGTGCAGGGAAAACTGAGCTGTAAAATGGAAAGAATGAAAAGATTTTTCTTCCAAATTGGAAAGCTGTGGCTTTCATATTCCATGGTAAAAATCGTATCTTTCTTTCAGAACTGAGAAAAAAGATAAATCTCAAACATGTCAGTTTTTCTCTCAATCTTACAAGGATGTTTTGATATGCTCCTTTATAAAAGGATTTTTTTTTCAAACTTTTAAACAACAAAATTTATCTTTAGTCTTAAGTTTATTCATACATGTTTGGCAGAAAGCTGTTATGCCACGTTAATTTGTAGAAGTCTGAATAGGCAGTAGAGCTGAAAACTGTAAGCATCCAGTTGTCTGTACATGTTTTTCCTATTAGCATCCAGGTGTGATCTTAAGTTCTTACAGTCAGGAAACTTTGCAAGTTCAAAATTGTTTCTGTCTTGTTTTTCTACCTTTGGAATGAGAAGAATTTGCTAATTGCAGATCTGCCAGTCAAGGCAGGTTCAAGGAAAAAAAGCAAAGGCAAAAAAAATTGGGATTAAAAGAAAGTGAGGAGAAGTTCTGCCCCTCTCATTCCTTTCCAAAATTAGCTTGCGAATCAAACTGCCAAGTGGTTAAGGGTCCTGGATCAAGCTTTAGCTCCTATGCTAGCCCTTGGAAAAAGAGCCCACTTCATTACTTCTTTAATGCCCTCCTCAGGGAATGAGTGCATTTATTGTGTTTATTTACAGATGCAGACCAATTTTACCCCCTACACTGTGTCCTTGCACAGACATGTACAGCTGAGAACTACGAGAAGGGAGTAACTGCTGAGAGTTGTAACTTGAAGAGGACAGTGCAGCAACTCAGGAAAGAAGCTGGACTAGCATGGGTGTTGGAAGAGGCCGCTGAGCAACAAGGGACCATCCAAAACCCGCTTTGGAACTCGCTAGATGAGCGCACCTACATTTCACAACAAATCAAACTACATGATCTTTTATTCCTACAGCCCAGAACGCAAATCCCTGAAGGATAGGTAAAGGGAGGCCTTGTCTCCTGGTGATTGTGCCTACAGTTGTACAGGAGATCTCCTAGTAACCACCTGGACTATTTTTAGGAGCTTGGGAGTTTTAATTTCAGGGCTAGGCTGCAGTCACAGGTCCTGTTCCAGCTGAAGCTGATAGAGGGAAGAAAACTATTGTTCCCAGCTACTTATCACTGTTCCTTTCCTCTTCACCTCCTTCACAACTGCCACCATAATTGCCTGTGTAGTCACTCCTGCAACACTTCATCCACCTAGTAACAGGTCTACCCTAATCCTGTTCATTTTGACAGAACTGGATTAGGGAATGGTTACACAAAAGGTCACACCACTAGCTCTAAGAGCAAAAAGAAGCTCTTTAGATCTCTCTTCATCCAACTCAGCTGATGCAGAGCAGGCAACAGCTGTCCAAGACTCAAGACAACTCTTCAGAAAGATTACAGACATTTGCTGCTGCTCCAGTTATCAGACAAAAGACTAATAAGAGTAAATATGTAAAGTTTAGCAGAAAAGATGATCGAAGGCAATACAAACAGGCTAGGCTGAACACAAAACAAGCTCAGTTAAATTTGTTCCTGACCTGAAGGAAGAATAAATGCTGGGTAATCTCCTGTAATAGTTCCTAACCCACTAAAAGAAACCTCTTCAAATTTTAGAAGGAAGGGCAATGTTGAACTTTAATGTAATAACCACCACATATAGCAGTGATCAGTATGTGACATTCTGCGCCATGTGTTATACAAGAGATCAAACTGCTTAACAAAATGAAATTCCTTAGCCTTAAAAAAAGATACCATCTAGAATTATGGTTTGTCACTTAACTCATGTTGCTTTAATTCCTGAGCTAAGAAAAAAGAGTAACTTTTAGAAGTAGAAATTGCTGTATTACTTTTTGTTCTCCTTTCATTTTCTATACCTTTTTGTCCATCTTTAGCCAGGTGCACATTCCTTTTATTGTATACTGCAAGCCAAAGAACCAAGTCTCCCTCAGACCAAGTGCTCGGCACACCAGATCAAACAAGTCCTTTCCTTTCCACTTCATCTAGAAGAAAAAAGAAAATTAAGCAAAAATGGATTTTGTCTTGAATAAACTTGCTACATTTTAGGTAAGCAAAGCAGGCTAGCACTTGGCTTTCTCCTATAAACCACTTTATCTCACCTTTAACTTCTCAGTGAAATATACCCACTGCTGCCTATGGCAAAGGAGCAATAGTTAGTATTCTACCTGCTCTTTTTCTGCTCCACACTCATTCACAAAGCAGCTGTAGTCATTTAACCACAATATCACACTTCGTGAGCACAGGGAATGAGCACTGCAATCTCCTAGGTACGTGGCAAGGCTTTATTATTATTTGTAAAATCTTATTCAACAGCCTATACAAATTGGAAAGACTGGAGAGGAGGCCAGGGGAAATTAAGGGAGTGCCAGGGCACAGAGGAATAGAAATGCCAAACAATCATAAAGTAAATCCATCCTTCACATACCTCAGTTATTTAGTGGTGCTAAGCCAAACCTTTATGCTACTTTGATTTAAATGAACAAGAATCTGTCTTCTAGGAGCAAACTTTAGCATGCAATCAAGATTCTTTTTGTATTCAGGAAAAAAGTGACCTGATGGGATAGATACAAAATGAGAGTAATTTACTAGCCCAGCTCCATAGAGAACAGATTTTGATTAAAGAACCTAAATTTTGCACATACACGATGTCTCATTTTTCACTGAAGAGGCTGCACATCTGTTTCTTCTATTTGGCTCTGTCTTAAAAGATGATTTTGTCTGATCGCATGGGCAGCCACTGAGAACTTAATAGCAAAAAAAAATATGAATTTCTGGGCAATATTTGGATGGAAAGTAGGAAATCATCCCAGGAAAACAGCAATATTTGGGGAGAAAGGAGGGACAGCACAGGAAAGAATATATCAAACTGGATTTGTTAACAAGGACTCTGAACTCTAAAACGTATTTCCAAATCCTTTATTTTCATGACTCTGCCTACAGGTATTCTAGAGCAGTAAGGCACAGGAATGTACAGCCTGTGACTAACATTCTGTCACTGCAGGACTTAACGAAATAATAAGCCCTTCACAAGACAGTCACCTCGCATTAGAATTGTCAGTCTCAGTGGACCTGAGTTTTCTAGATCCCCTTCTCAAAATAACAGTAAATCTCTTGCTTCTGTTGAATGATTAGGAATTCATCAGCCACACAGCTCTGTCTCCTCAACAGTGCAGCCTAAACTATTTAGCAATTCATCAGTTGGTATATTTGTACTCTTCCATATTTTTCTGAGTAATGATTTCTCTAACCAATTTACTAGATAGCCATAACTTAAAGGAGATGAGCTAGTTTTGCCATTCAGATTGATCATTTTTCTCCTATGCTCAAAGGAAGTGAAAGCCACAGTCATTTTATCTGCAGAAATAAACTGGAGTTTACAAATGGAAATTCTCTTCAAATATGATGTTACCGAGATCAACTGAGCATGGAAGTATCATTTGGAAAATTACTTTAAAAGCAACATCTTTGGATGAACTCTGATAAGATTTCCTCATTGAGGCAGCCTCTTAAGTCATGTCATTTATAACAGAGAAGTTTACAGGGAAATAGGTATACTTACAAAGAAGAAGTTGGTGACACCTTGTTTATAAAAATATTGGATCAATTTTAAGGCAATCCATGAACTTAGAATTTGAAATTTTACCCATTCAGGGATGCAGCCCTTCAATTTGTCTTTTCTAAGAGTGGGACTGTCTTTACATTATTCCCAAATGGTAGTGACATTTTTCACAGAATTTGGAGCTAGACATAGAAGTTTGAGCAGAGTGAGGAATTGATCTCGTAATCCACTACTGTCTCTTCAGTGATTTCATTCCTTAATTCACAAGTACTTTCCAACAGCTCAACTCCTTCTGGGCTTTTTACAGCATTTTGCAGTATCTCTGAAATATCTTTTCTATCTTCCTAATATAAAAGACAATCTCCATCTCCTTCCAGCATTCTGCTGAGAGCTCTTACCTCACAGCTGAACTCCATTTCAGCATCCACTGTTATGATTTTGACTTTAAAAGTCCTTGGTTGTTTCTTCTTCAGGCCTCTAATGGACATATTTTTTAGCTTATGATAGCCACACCTGAAATTGAACACACTTTACATTTAGGGCTGGAAATTCAGTAAGATTTTCTTGGCTAGGTTCCAAGGCAGGATGAGTCCAGACTTCTATAGAGACAACCTATATTCAAGAGTGACTTTAAACATGTCAGAGCATCCAAAAAGATACTTGAACCATAAACTAAAAGGGAGCTAATTTTTTTTTATAGTTTAGCATGGGGATCTGCTCTTTAAAAAAAAAAAAAAAAAAAAAAAAAAAGGAATTGTTCTCCCCCAAAATAATTCTGGTTTCTCCTCTTGGATCCATGTAAACACTGTAATCCTACAGAACTAGAATGAATCTCATTCCAACCTTATGTTGCAAGATCCAGGGGTCTGCCTCTCACTACGGCTGAGAACATCTAGGGATCCTCCAATCCAGCCCTCGTGATCCATACAATCAACATCCATGCAACTCAGCAGTCTCTTGCACTGAAACCCTGCAATGCATAAATGGGCACAGGATTTTGAGTCACAGCATCATTTGATATTCCTCATCCCCTCCCCATAAACAAGCAACATTCCCCCTGGAGTCTCTCTGCAACAAATACAGAGTTTCTACTGCTGCAAAACATACAGCAGAGAGCTGCATTACTTAGCAAACACATATTATATCACCCTCATCTTAGTCCCTTTCCATCAGTTATGGCTCCCCTGAGCAACTCATCTATTGCATTTATCCACACCATAGGATTTTAACTCCCCACAATAATACAAATGCTAGCGAAATCAAGCTGAATTTACCCTGTTCTCTTGGGCATACTAATTTACAATGATGAAAGCTATTTGAAACATTGATTTTTCCAGTAGACTACTTCTGAGGAGAAATTAAATTTTGCATAAGCCTACAGAATATTCCTTCAAAAAGCTCATATTTTAAATGCAATTGACTACATTCCTTCAAAACTAAAATGCATGAAAACATATGCTCATTCCACTGCCAGAGGGTTTTGAGGATACTAGTCGAACCAAACACTGAAAGCTGGGGCTAAATGATGTGCTGTGAATTTGCACTATGCAGTTCTTGGATGCTTATTTTTTGAACATAGGAAATCAATCTGCAAAAATGTGTGGGTTTTAAAATTAATAGTTTAAATTAATAGTTCAGACTTACACAGCCTAGCTAATATCTGTGATCTATAAAGGCTACAAGAAGATGAAGGCATTCTTGGTTTCCTATAAAATAAGGCTATGAAAATGTGGCAGACTTCCAATCTCTCCTTAAGAAATTCCAAAATAAAGTTTTAGTTTAAATATAAAAAAAATTGTTCAAATCTTTCAATATTTTATAGAATATCTTGTCTGCCTTCTGCCATGTTCTAAACTGGAACACAAGCATACTGAATAATTAGCATTTACTTTGCATTGCCCCTCATCCAAAAATCCCAAATAGTTAACAAGAGGAAAAATGTACATGATTTTTTTCTTTATGGACTGGTATGGAAGTTAAGGCAGAAAAAAGATGAGATAGTTACCAAATCACACGGAAATCAGAATGAATATTTGAGACAATTCAGAGTGGGGAGAAGTTCAGGAGGAAGTTCATCTTCCTGACAGCACTAGGACCAGCTGAGACATCCTCTCCCTCCAGCTGCTCCTGGCAAAGCTTCTGCTGAAGTCCCACGTCCGATTCGGGGTAACAGGCTTCAAGAAAGCTAAAGGACTGACTGAAGTGAGCCCAAAGGAGATTCAAAGGCCAGAAAGCCAATCTGTGAGATGAAATGAAAGAGCTGGTTAATATATATGAGACAGGTGTGATAAGACATGAAGATATGTCCACTCTCTATGATCAAAATAGTAAGGTCAAGAAATAATGGCTTAAACTGCAGCAAGGTTAGACACTGAGAAAAATTCTCTAATGCTGGAAAAGCCTAGGATGTGGTTTTCATCTTTCTGAAAGAGTTAGACAAACAGTCAGGAATGGTGTGAGGGCATCTGCTCCTGCACCAAGGGAGGAGGGAACCTATCTCCTCTAAAGCTCTTCTCCCACCCTGGTCCTCCAGAGCTCGGAGTGTGACTGGCCTCCTGCCATCAGTGCAGCACAACTTGCTTCCAGGACCCTAGCAAAATTTAAGCTGAGGAGAAATACCCAGGGCAGCGCCAAATACAAGGGAGTGTTCTAGGAGTGAAGCTCAGGAATACTTTTAAGGAAGTGCACAACAAAGATCTTCCCACAAAGTGCTTTCTTCCTATACTTTAGGCACCATTTCTGTGCTTAGCAGAGCTCAGCTCCTTTCTATTTAAGTATAAAGATGTTTTCAATTAAAGAGAAAGAAATGTTTTGAGAGCTTCCAAGTCACCATAGTAGTAGAGTATAATATAACTGCAATAGTCTTCAGAGTATCATGTGAAGGATCCAAAACAGTAGCATAATTATTCCAGTAAATTTTTAGTCTCTGATCTGCCAGATGCAGAGCTGATGGCAAAATTACATTTTCACCTGTTACATTCCAAAGACCTTTCCTATCCAGTTTTCCTCAACAGCCACAGTTTTACTGAAAGTGTGCCATTGGATACAGCAGTTAAGGTATTAGAAGCACGAACTGCTATGAAATACTGGATACAAACCCTCCTATCAGTCCTCTTTAGAAGAGGGAAAAAAAATACAGAAGGCTGAAGAGGAAAACACTTCAGAGTTCATTTTTAATACGTAATTTGAACCAGCCAATTCAATTAAATAAGAACTTGGAGTTAGGGCTGGTATAGAATATGCTTCATGGAAAACGCTGTATAGATAAAACTGAACTATTTCAAGAAAATGTATCCATTTTCTCAAAATATGTCAAAAACTCCAAAGCCCTTTATTTTTACTTTGAAGTTCTCTTTCTTTCCCTTGTATAACATAGTTGAAATGACAATATAATTTGTTCAAGGTTTCCAATAGCACTTTTTTTTGTCCTTTCCAGAATTTTAATTCCATGGAAAAGTACATTCTGTCTCACAGTAAAAAGACATTTTCAAATATATTTTCCCAAGAAATGTAAACTCAATTCTAATCAGCTGCACTGGGAGAGAAATAGAGAAAAAAGGCTCATACTGAGTTTAAATGAATGTCAACTACTGATAACATAAGCAAAAGCACATAATAAGTACTTAGAAAAATAACTTTTCAAATAAGAGAATTCTTACAGAATAAGGCAATCCAGCTTTGCAATCTTTGATTTAAATGCAAAGTGATACATTATCAAGATCTCTTGCTAATAATAACAGCTTTGAACTGTGAATCATGTGCAACTCATTTCAAGATACAGTTTCTGTCACTGAGTTCCAATGATTTATTTATGCAGTTGCCAGAGGGATATAAGCTCGAGATCCAGAGGCAGCAAAATGGGATCGCTCACAGCATGTCATCAGATCCTTACCAAATACTCCATTAATCCAAACCAGGGCGGGGTGAAAAGTGATTCTTGTCCTGCCAGAATCTGGGAAGTTTAGGAGCTGCAAACATCCACGGCTTCCCCAGCACCTGATGAAAACTAACAGAGAGATCAGAGCTTCACTGGATGGGGGAACAGGGATGCAGAAGTGAGGAATGGAACTTGCAGGATCTCAGCAGTACCAGTGTTGCCTTTCTGGGCGTTCGCAATAAAAGCACTAACATTCCCCACCTCCCGCTGGATTACAACCTGCTGCCTTCCTGATGGTGAGAAACCAGCACGGGAGCAAAACGTGGGAGCGCGAGGGAAACCGGGAAGTGCAAGAAGAACTGGCAGGGCGACTCCTGCGAGGACTGATGCTTATCCAGAGCACAGCACGAGCGGGACAGCAGCACTGCCCGCTGCGCCAGGTGGCCTAGGGACCTGGGAGACCACCCTTACTCACTTCCCCTGCTAACTTAACAGAATTATCTCAAAGAAAATGAAAACAGCACCTCCAACTCAATAAATCCTGCACATTTCAGTTCATTACAGAGGCAGAGATGCTGCAAAATACCTTCATTAGCAAGCAGCAATTAAGCTTCCCAAGAGGGAGAGTATGACTTTCAGTTTAGTATTGCCAAAGCAAATGGGTGGTTTGCAGGACTCTGCACAGCATGTAAAGCTTTTAATCTCCACAACACTTTCAATAACAACTGTGCACGAGGTGTTACCACCCAGTCATACTTTAGGGAGCCAAACAAGTTAAAAAAGCATCGCTGCTTTCACCAGCTCTGACCTGCGCTGCTTTTTAATGGGAATCTCGCCGGTCTCAGCAGTGGCCAGGCTAGAAAGTGATGGAAATTGAGAGCCCCTTTGCTCATAGCCCAAGAGGCAGCTGCTCTGTCTGTCCCTCCAGGTTAATGCAGAGCACATGCACATGGACAGCCCATCCACCAGAAAAGTCCTTACCCACACCTGAAAGATAGAACCCAGGTGGGTGCAGTGTGTTTTAATTAAGCAAGGTCTGGGAAGCACTTTAAGAGACACCAACAGAAGATGTGTGATGCACCAAGCACAAAATATCTCAGCAGAGATACTGCTACAGTTTTAAAGTCTTGTCATCACTGAAATACTTACTCTGTTATTCCTAAGACTCTCTGCCTCATCATCTCTCTTCTGAGTTTCTAAGCTTTAGCTCAGAAGTTAAAGCAAGTTAACTGAATAAAAACAATAAGGGAAAAAACTGAGCTTCTTTACAGTCACCGACTCACACTTCTGCTCGTGCTCCCTGCCCTAAGTAACAATTTAAGCAATTAATTCATTGTTTTAAAATGAGTCAGTGATATAAATATTTTTCTTACCTCTCAAACTAAAAAGAAGTTATCTAAAGTCACCGGCTGGAATCAGACTTACTTCCCAGATCCTTTTCTGAGCCAGCATAGGAAAAATAAAAATCCCTTTTGATCCAAAGTTCCGTATTTGTCAGCAGACATCAAGGTCTAGTCCTCACAAGTTCTGGCACTGAAAAGAAACAATTCAAGAACAACTTTTATAGCTGATCCCCTTTCCTTTGTTTCCTATGAGCTGCAGCATGTTAGCGCCCTCTGAAAAATCAAAGAATCGCTTCCCCAGGTGATATGAAAGGGCTTTAACCATTTCCTGCCTGTGCCGGCAAGACTCCTCCCAACTTCTCTCCACTCCAATGCCAGCAACAAGACCCTCAAATAACGAAATCCAGGTTTCGGGAGCAAGCCCATGAGTCTTGACTTGCATATTGCTGAAAACTGATAGTAAACTTTTGAGCAATCCCCTTGGCGGTGTTTGATAAACTGTTTCAACAGTGTCTCTTGCAATACAAAGCGCAGTCTGTTCTCACCATACCCAGCCACCTTAAATAGCCAAGTTGCTCAGTGTTGTCCTATTAAGCAAACACAATTCCCTACCTGCCTTCTTCCTGTGGTGACGGATGAGGGGAGAGTAACTCATAAAGAAAACAAGGCTGAAAAAAAAAAGGCAGCAACCCAAATGTTTGCCCATTAAAAAAAAAAATGTGATTAAACACAGGCTAACAAGACCAAAATCTAGCCCCAGGGTGAAGTCTGGGGAGCAAAACACCAGCACCTGGCAGTGCTGGCAACTCAAACACCATGGCAGAGCCAAGGCTCCTTTTGCCACTATTCAACTTGGAAGTTTCTCTAGGCATGGATTTTAGTCACAGGTTTAGGCTGATTTTCTACCACCATGGGTAAGCAAGGACAATTTAGCCCATTCGTCCATTTTTGACCTACCTATGGGCTGACCAACACGAGATTCATTCCCGTGGGAACAGCTGGCGCTCAGCCCTGGACATGGGGAGGAAGCTGCCTCTCCACACAGCTTCACCCCACAGAGGGCTCAAGCGGCGCCTCCCTCCTCACCCCTGGAAATCGTCACTCCCTCAGAGGGCCCCCAGGCAGGCAGGCTCCAGCCCCTGGCGCTCACACCAGTCACTGACACCAAAATGGGGACCGAGGTGCCACACGGGCTGCTATGGGGCTGCCTGGGCAACAGGCTTCTCTGAGGGGGACAGCTCAGGCCTCAGCCTCCCCAAAGCGCCAGCGCCACCAGAGCACTAACATGGCCCCTACAGGGCCAACGTGGCCACCAGAGCCTGAAGAACAGGGTCCAGCACCACCTTCAGAGCTATTTTACGCGTTTGTTACCCCAAATTGGCTCTTATAAGGTGCCTAGAGCAGGCAAGGCACCCCGAGGCTTCCCACCACACAGAACAGAGGCAAAAGCGGGACTGCATGCGGGTGCCTGCGCCTTTAAACCCCCCCGCCATGACCCC